AAAAATTAAATAGAGAAGACAGAAGTAGGTGATTTTGATGGGGATATACAGAAATGGGTAAAACGAAATTTTAAAATAAGGGAATTACAGACCTCAAAGACTGAGTTAAAAAAAAAAAAAAGTGATAAGCAGTTGGAATCAAATTAAATACACTATTTGATCTCAAACCCAACTTACCTATACCTCAATATACACCCTGTCTTAATCTACTAAAAGTTAATTGTGCATATTGATGCATTAAAAAAAATAGCAATTTTTAAATTTCACATCTTTGCAGTTGCTGTCCTTTTGGGATAGAGAGTTTTTCTGTTTTTTGATTTCTTCCTCCTGGAGTGACACCAAACTGAGAGACACAGAATGAAGATCTGGGCTGTTTCTGAAGAACAGCAAACACTCAGGATGGGAGAGGAAGAGAAAGGAGAAATGCATGGCCAGTCACACGGCCACAGTGCAGATGAGAGACAAGAGGTCTTGAGAGAGAAACCAGATAGAGACAAAGCACACAACCTACTAAAATTCACCCTCTTCTACCCTTGCCCAGTCAAAACCTGCATTGACTGCCACTGACTTCCTCCTCACATAAAACACATTTGTTCAGTTTGCTGAGAAATAGTAAATAGATTAATCAGCTGCTAAACCTGAACAGAGCAGAACTGGGACAAGAGGAAACTTAAACTGTAAAAAAAAAAAAACCAACAACAAAACCAAAACCCAAACAACCTCCCCCCAAAAAACCAAACAAACCAAAAACTATTGCAACAAAAAAAGCAATAATGAAAAGTTGCAAACAAGGTAAACTCACTAGGGAAACATCTCAACTTTATTTAAAAAAAATAAGAATCACTTGACTTCTACCTTATATCTAAATTTTACTGCATTTGCTTGAATGTATCTTATTCTGCTACTAAAACAGAACTTCTGTTGCATCTGCAAGCAAAGTACACACAACACTGTCATGGCTAGCAGGTATGATCAGAGATGGTGACATTACAAAACTAGGAAAGGGCTCAAGCTTCAGCTCCATAATTAGGAAGGCATCTTCAAGGAATGAGAGACAGATTCTGAGAGGGAGAACACAGCCTCCCTCCTTGTGAGTAGTATGCTGCCTCCAAACCCTGCACACAGAGTAAAATTTCCTTACTTAGCCAGTTCCTATTTCAACTGAGAGCTTGAGAAGTTGAATGCTGAAATCTTATCAAATGCACGAATGGCACTGGTCTGCTAGAAAAGCAGAAATTAGAAAAAAACCTCACAACACAGCATACAAATCTACAGGGAAATTACATGAAAAATTGTTGTTACCATCGTATGAAACCAGCAGAATTCTGCATCTCTGTCATCTGACTGTATGAGAGTCATCAGCAAACAAAGAAAGGGCCTTTCATCTCTTAGAGAATAAACTTTAATAAAGATCAATAAAAATATGCACAAGGGCTCTTTTCTGGCAACAGTAAACTATTTCTTGCAGTTCAGCACTCCAAGCATTCTTTTACCAGGCTCTGCATCATTTTGCAATTGAAAGCAACCATTTACTAAAATCAAAACGTAGTTTTCCCACCCAGTTCTGAGGTGTCACATACAAATTAACAGGATAAGCATATCCTGTTTAACATACCCCTATTCTAAATCTTTAGGGTAGTCTTGAGATATCCATCTCAACATAATTTTTTTTCTCCTGTGCTGCAAAGGGCTCTTTTGTAGCCATCACAGAATTTTTTTCAAGCCCTGCATGTGCTCATCAGTGTTTGATGAGAACTGTTGTCAGTCAGTATTGACCTTAGACAGTCAGTATGATTAACAATAACATTAGATCTTAATAAATTACAAACTGTGATGAATTTAAGGGTGTTGTGATAACTTACATGTTACTACTGTTATGTACTTCTTGAGAGGATATGCTGGATTCACCTAATGAACGTGCTTCTTCAAGACATCCAGATAGGTCTGCTGCTTCCTGAGTCACCATTAATTCAGGGTGCCTGGCTACAGGCTTTCCTGCTCAAAAAACAGATATAAAGGTCATATATTGAAAGTTCCAGCTTGGTGACTTCAAATAACAAAAGCACCATCCTGATATTGGGCTGCAATTTAAAAATTTGTACTCTTTGTCTATTTTAGTGTGTCCAAGTTCCATGCACAGAGCTGTTTTCATTGCACCAGAGCAGGAGACAGCTGTACTCCAGCCAGGAATTCAGGAACGAGACAAAAGACAACAGACAGATAAAGGAAAATGAAAGAATTCAAGAGAGCGACAAGAAAATACTCAGCGTAATACCAGTAGTTTTCATTTAAAGAAAATTGTTGAACAGTGAAGTGGACTTTATTAAGATGAGAGTGTTTGCCTACTCTTCATTTAGGGTAAGTAGTGAGATTTCATATATCTCTGTTTTGGCTTTAGGAACACATTTACTAATTTAATCATAACACAATTACTGTGGAATCCTGACTAGCCTGGGCTGGCATATAGTGGTTTCCTTAACAGTTACATAAGGGTTTGTGGGAGGAGAGTGTCTGCTCCTTAAGGGCATCTGCTCAAGGGCCATTTTAAGTGCAGTAAGGGATTAGAGGAAAGGGAGGAAGCCATAAAACAAAGAACATATGGGGACTCAGACCTGAGCAGTAAATGAGGGATGTGGTGATGAGAACCAAACCTGGTCAGTCACATCAATTGATGGAGCATGAGAGGAGTGCGAGAATGTTTATTCCAGTAAGGTTCTCTGATCGGAGCCCCTTGTCAACTGGGAAATTAGGGAAAACGGGGGAAAACAGAAACAAAATATAAAGAGACAAGGACCTGACAAAAAAAGAAAGACCATGACAAGAAACAAACCTCACCACTCGCACTGGTGGATGGGCTATCAAGAAACTATATACAGGCACCAGGAAGAGTAGCCTGGACTTTGCACTGACAAGACTGTGAACCAGGGGGACCCAGACTTGGAGAGGTGGGGGAATCCATGGAGCTGTACAGACCTGTGAGGAATGCATGCCTGGCTGAGCCCCATGCCTGATCAGCACAGACTGTCCTACCCTATTGTATCTTCTTAAATCTTAAGCATCTCTGTGCATAATCTCATTTTGTATCCCATATATGTGTGTGATAAAGGACAAAGTGCCAGCTGCTGGTGAGACCTGTGCATGAGTGAACACTGGTGCCAGCTCCTGGAGTCAGACTGGGGGCAAGGGCACCTCTGGCCTATGATGTCAGCTGCTGGTGCAGGTGGGGGACTTTAACTTCCAGCCACTGGAGCAGGAACAGGATGTGTCTGAAAAATGAGCTGCTGTTGTGAGTGAGGGGCTCCATGTCAACATATGGAGCAGGGCTGTGGGTCACAGCTTGTGTGCCTGGTGCTGGATACTGGGGAGAAGCGTCGTCTGTATCTTCACCAGCTTTGGTAATCCTAGGGCACACACCCATGTTTATCAGCAAATTTTAAGCTGAAGGGTAGGGGCACCTTGGGTCCAGGACAGGGGGCCCTGCAGCATCTTCAGCCCAGGCAGGAGCCCCACGTTCCCATACAGGAGAGGCTCTGGACCAGAGCAGCAGGAAGAGATGGCTGTGTTTCTTACATCACTTACCACGAGTCAGCAAACACAGGGCCTGTTTAGGGTCCCAGAAAAATCACTAAGAGATTTCACAGAATCCTAGAATGGTTTGGGTTGGAAGGGACCTTAAAGACCTTCTCATTCCAAACCCCCAGCCATTGGCAGGGACACCTCTCGCTGGATCAGGTTGCTCCAAGCCCTGTCCAACCTGTCCTTGAACCTTTCCAGGGATGAGGCTGCCACAACTTCCCTGAGAAGCCTTTTCCAGCATCTCACCGCCCTCTTTGTAAAAAAATTTCTTGCTAATATCTAACCTAAGCTTCCCCTCTTCCATAGAATCATAGAATGAGCCAGGTTGGAAAAGACCTCAGAGACCATCAAGTCCAACCCTTGATCCAACACCGCCGTGGTTCCCAGACCATGGCACTAAGTGCCACATCCAGTCTCATCTTAAAACCCTCCAGGGATGGCGAATCCACCACTTCCTTGGGCAGCCCATTCCAATGCCTGATTACCCTCTCTGTAAAGAATTTTTTCCTAATATCTAACCTAAACCTCCCCTGGTAGAGCTTAAGACCATGCCTTCTTGTCTTGCTGATAGCTGTCTGGGAGAAGAGATCAACCCCCACCTGGCTACAACCTCCTTTCAGGGAGTTGTAGAGAGTGAGGAGGTCTCCCCTGAGCCTTCTCTTCTCCAGGATGAACAGCCCCAGCTCCCTCAGCCTCTCCTCATAGGACTTGTGTTCGAGCCCCTTCACCAGCCTTGTTGCTCTTCTCTGGACCTGCTTCAGCACCCCAATATCCTTCCTGAACGGAGGGGCCCAGAACTGGGCAGAATCTACAAGACAGCTCCTCGTACGCGCCGAGGTGCGGAGGCTGACGTCTCGTCCCGATGTGACAACCCTGCGCTTCTCGCACAGCCACCCGCCCACCCAGCCCTTAAGAGGGCCCACCTCGCTTCGAGGGCCGCAAGCCAGGGGGTCTCCTCCCAAGCGAGGCAGGGCGGGGCGGAGCAGCGGCCGAGGCGCGATGGCAGCGGCGCCTCTCAGGGCAGCTCCCCCCAACCCCGCCCAGGGCCCCTTCACGCGGGTCCCCCCTCACGACGCCAACGGTCGCCAGGCAACCGCCCGCCATGGCCGCTTTAAAAGGGCCGTGCCCGCCTCTGATAGGTCGGTGGGGGGCGGGGTGGCGTCGCGATTGGCTGGGGGCCCGGGGTGAAGGCGGAAGCGCGCGGCACCGGCACCGGCGGCGGCCATGAGCCGGTTCGGGGGTCGCATGCGGGAGTACCCGTCTCTGTCTATCGACCGCTTCGACCACCACAACCTGCGCGCCCGCGCCTTCTTCCTGTCGCACTGCCACAAGGGTGAGCGGCCGCGAGGGGCTGGGAGCGTCCCCGGGTGCACCCCACCTCCCCTACACCCCAGTGACCGCCGTGCCTCTCTCTCTCCCCCCAGATCACATGAAGGGGCTGCGGGCGCCCGCCCTGAAGTGCAGGCTGGAGGGCAGGTACGGCGGCTGCTGAGGGGGGACGGGACCGGCAGCGCTGAGGGGGAGGCGGCTGGTGCGCAGCAAAGCGTGGGCAAAACAGCTTGAGGAGCTGCCGAGGGTTATAAGTCACAGCAAGGACACCTCCCTGTAGACCAGGATGCTCCAAGCTCCGTTCAACCTGGCCTTAAACACTCCCAGGGATGGGGCAGCCACAGCTTCTCTGGGCGAGCTATGTCAGTGTGTAATCCACCTCCCTTTTATCTACCTAAGCTTTCAATTTAAAGTCATTCTCCTCTATCCTTGTACGATGTCCCTCTCCATCATTCTTATAAGCCCCATTTAAGTATCGAATGGTGGCAATATTGAAGACTCCCCAGAACCCTCTCTTCTCTGTGCTGAACAACACCAACTCTCTCAGCCTATCTCCATAGGAGAGGTGATCCAGGCCTTGGATCATTTCTGTGGCCTCCTCTGGACCTACTCCAACAGGTCCCTGTCCTTCTCGTGCTGGGGACCCCAGAGCTGGACGCAGCACTCCAAGGGGGGTCTCACAAGGGCAGAGCAGAGAGAGAGAATCATCTCCTTTGACCTGCTGGTGATGCAGCCCAGGATGCAGTTGACTTTCTGGGCTGTGAGTGCACATTGCAGGCTCATGTTCATTTTTTCATCCAGTGGGACCCCCAAGATCTTCTCCACAGGGCTGCTCTTGATCTATTCATACCCCAGTCTGTATTAATGCTGAGATTATCCAAACTCAGGTGCACTTGGCCTTGTGGAACTTCATGAGGATCTCTGCTGTTACTCCCTGGAAGTGCACACTGACTGTGCTGTCTGCACTTGTGCTGTGAAGAAGGCCAGCGAGTTGAGGGAGACAGTTATTCTACTCTGGCCAGCACTTGTGAGACTTCTTTTTGGAGTATTTAGTCCAGTCCTAGGCTCCTCTGGACAAAAAAACCACCCCGACAGGTGTTTGGAGCAGGATCACCACACTGTTCTGGGGCAGGAGTGTGTGATGTGTGAGGAGAGGCTGAGAGCTGGGTGTCTGCAGCCGTGGGAGTAGGAGTCAGCTGTGTGTCACTGTTTGCAGGTAGGGATAGAGAAGATGGAGCCAGACTCTTCTTGGAGGTGCATGACGAAAGGGCAAGGGACACCTTTTTCACCACGAGGGTGGTCAAACATGGGAATGGGCCCAGGGAGGTTGTGGGATAGCTCCCTGGCACTTTTCATTTACTAGAGTAGATGTTGCCTCTCCTCAGATGCAAGCAGAGAATCTCTTTTTGCTCGCCGGGTCTCTGCACTGTGCAGAAGATTAATAGGGAGTATTCTGAGTTCTGCTGAATGCTGACTACCCCAAACACCTGTTCCAGGGGTGTGGGTATAGAAACAGAAACCTGTACATATGACCACTTCATTTGTGTATACAAAAATCCATGCAGACATGGGCACACAGAGGTAATTTTGGGTTTGCTGTGCTGAAGAAAAGCCTGCAGGCTTCCTGCTCTGCAGGTCTCTTCACATGAGAGAGTGTTCTGAGCACAGGTTTTGATGTGCTGGGTGCCCGCTGCTGATGTGTCGTTAGATTGTTCCTTGCCTCTACTTTAAAACACACTTCTCTCTGCTTTTTGTCTCCTCACAGTTTGAAAGTTAAACTATACTGCTCACCAGTAACTAAGGAATTGCTGTTGTCTAACTGGAAATACAAGTTTTGGGAAAATCATATTGTGAGTTTGTGTTTATTTTTAAATTAACGTTTTCCAAGCAGTGATTCTAGGAAAGAAGAAGCTTCTGCTCCTCAGAAATGCCTAAATGTTGGTGTCGATACAATGTTTCAGGTCTTAAGTATTTCCAACAATGTGTCTTTTCTACCGCTTGCTGTGTGGGATTGGTTTATTGATGTTTAATTATTATTCCCTTCACATGACTTTTTCCTTTCCTCTCACCCTCAGCTTTACATGGCCATCATCTTTACACTGATCATTTGTATCTCTGTATTCATTTCCTTACCCGGCTCATGTGTTTTTGCTCCTGTCCTTAATTAATTTCTCTTTTGCTTAATTTAAAATCTCTTACTGCTTGGAGAATATATAACCTGTAGTTATATTATTTTCCTTTTGCTTTTTGGAAAATGGACTATCTCTAACATGAAAAAGTTTTAATGATGTAAAGTCACTGAAGAACTAAATCAGTTTACATGATTTCCACTGTTTGGAGCCAAACTTCAAGGGATCAGTGTCATGTACAGGTGTGACTTGTAGTTATTTCCTTCCCTTTGCAGACACAGGCAACATGAAATTGAACGTGGTTTTTTTACAGAAATAAAAATAATCACCTCTATACAAACACAGGAATCCATGCTCCCTGTGGTCTGTGGGCTCTCCTGGTAATAGGGGGCAGTGGGAAATGCTGTAGCACAGATCTGTCCCAGAAAGATGTCCTGATGTGCTCTAGGACTGGAATGTCTTGGGTCTTGCAGTCATCCAAAATAAGGCATATGATCCAGCCACAGAAAGAAGAGCTGTTGCTGTAATAAGTCCCACATGCTCTAACTTTTTTAGGTATGTACACCTTGGTTGAGGTATCTCCATTTCATTTTTAGACAACTTTTAGGAAACTTTTTTTCCCACTGGAAATGGAAATTCATGACTATGGGAAAATGACTTTGATTTTACAGGCTTAGCAAGAACCACAGTGAGTGCTAGAGATATATAGATAATGAATACCAGCCATAAACATGAAACACAATGTCCAGTAAATCCTATAATGCAATTAAACATTTTGTTACAGGTTGCACTGGAAGTTGAAACTCCAACTCAGATTTCTTTAGTAGATGAAACATCTGGTGAGGTAAGTTCCAGGAAAAAAAAGATTCATATATTAGTAATGGGCAGTAATGCTGTTTATATGAGTATGGGAAACACCCTACCTATAACATCCCAAGAGGATAAGCTATGTTTAAAATGCATGTTACCCTCCTCTCCTGGATGTTCAGCCAATGAATTCTGTTGCCCTGCTTTGTTCTTACAATCATAGCATTCTTTTGGTAATGCCTTTCCAGGGCATTACCAACTTACCTATTGCTCTTGTGATTTTTTTCACTTTGTATCTTCTGGCTTATTTTAATTAACAAGCTTTAAATGCAAAATGTTAAGGTCTAGTAGAGGATCTCCACACAAAGTGTATCCCAGGATGCCACTTTCGTGGTATTCGTGGATGCTTGGTAGATGGGAGGCTGCACGTGTCATGTGCTCACAGCCCAGAAAGCCAAATGTGTTCTGGGCTGCATCACAGGAACTGTGGGCAGCAGGTTGAGGGAGGGGGTTCTGCTTCTCTGCTCTACTCTGAGGAGACCCCACCTACAGTGCTGTGTCCAGCTCTGGAGTCCCCAATACAGGAAAGACATGGAACTGTTCGAGCAGGTCCAGAGGATGGCTACCAAAAAGGGGAAGGGCTACATCTGAGGAAAGGTTGAGAGTTGGGGTTGCTCAGCCTGGAGAAGAGAAGGCTCTGAGGAGACCTTTCAGTACGTTAAGGGGGCTTATAAGAAAAATGGGGACAGACTTTTTAGTAGGGCTTGTAGGGACAGAACAAGGGGTGATAGATTTACACTAAAAGAGAGTTGATTCAGACTAGATACAAGGAAGAAGTTTTTTACAATGAATATCGCGAGACACTGGAACAGGTTGCCCAGAGAGGTGGTGGATATCCCATCCCTGGAAACATTCAATTTTAGGATGGAAGAGACTGAGCAATCCAATCTAGTTGAAGATGTCCTTGCCTGGGGCAGGGGTGTTGGACTGGATGAACTTTAAAGGTTCCTTGCAGCCTAAACTATTCTGTGATTCTGTACTTGCTCACCAGGAACTAGGGAGTTAGGACTGTCTTATGTCCAACTTGCTTTATAGGCACCTTACAATACTTGGTCCTTGCCTCAGACATGACAGGATGCTCGTTGCTCTTTAGTGCTTGTTGCAATGTGAAGAGACTCTCTTGATTTAAATGCTAAATTCTTCAAGAGGCTGTGGAGAGTAATGTGTTACTTTCATTGTGCTGATAAAAGTACTGGTAGTACTTGCTACACTGTGTAAATAATGCTAACCCATCTCTTCCAGAAAGAAGATGTAGTGGTGACACTTCTGCCAGCTGGTCACTGTCCGGGTTCAGTCATGTATGTACTTTCAGTGCCCAAAATGTTTCTGCTGAGAGATTTGTCCTGTAGAGTTCTCACTGAGTACTGCTTTGGGTTGTGGTGTTGGTTTTTTTTTTTTTTTTTTTTCCAACTAGAAGAAGCTAATGAATTTAAAATTCTTACTTGGAGGAAATACTCTTGTGGCAGGGCCCACCACCTTTGATGAAGGTTGGAAAAACACAGTACTGTCTGGGATCTGTCCAGATGGAAGTTGTTACCTTGGTGGGGCAGATTACTTTTTCCCGTGGCTGAGTGATTTCAACTGTACTTAAAAATTACACACAAAACTGTTATTGAAAATAAATCCTCCATTTCTTGAGTATGACATTAAAAAGAAGGTGCTCAGCTCTAGATACAGCTGCCCAATAGATGCCTTTGGCTCCAACAGACAGCTGGGCCACCCTCATTGATTTTGTGAGGCTTTTGCCTTCAACTCTGGGCCAGACACAGGTTACTTTCCAGACATACTGTGTCTGATTTTTTTGTTTTATCTGAAATTACTGTAGAACCACGTTGAGCCCAGTGTTTCTATTACAGCATACGTAAGTCACGACGACTGCCCTAAGCAAGGTAACAAACCACCACCTGGCATTTAATGCTTTATTTTGCTGCATTTGACCCAGCTGTTGCTGTTTGCAGGTTTCTGTTTGAAGGTGAGAATGGCACTGTGCTGTACACAGGGGATTTCAGGCTTGCAAAGGGAGAAGCAGCCAGAATGGAGCTTTTGCATTCAGGGACCAGGTGAGCTATTTGTGGGATTTAGAAAGAATAAAAGATCATGTGGCATGGACAATTCAGGAATAATGTACTGGTTTTTTCCTCATTTTTTATTCTGGATTAACTATAATTGCAGTGCTGCAGTTACAAAACCCCTTTGATTTGTTCTTTGTAATAAAGAGGTAATAAAGATTTGCTTCCTTTTGAAAAGAGGAAGTGGTGTGTCTTAGTACTGTGATGCAATATTCCCTCTGGTATCACATTTCTCTCCTCCAGAGTAAAAGACATCCAGAGTGTGTATTTGGACACTACTTTTTGTGATCCCAAATTTTATCACATACCAAGCCGGGTAAGTCCAAATAAGCTGTAAGAGTCCTTAAAACTGCTGATTAATTAACCATCCCTTTTTTATGTAAGTCTTACAAGACAATGCCATTTTGCATTTCCAAATTGCAACACATAGAAAGTATCTTCAAAGATGATTCACAGCATTTTCTACACTTTTCAGGAGGAATGTTTAAATGGGATCTTGGAGTTAGTGCGAAGCTGGACCTCACTGTCCCGCTGTCATGTTGTGTGGCTGAACTGCAAAGCTGCTTATGGATATGAATATTTATTCGTAAACCTAAGTGAGGAACTCGGAATCAAGGTAATGTTTCTATGATTGTTGCTTTGGAACAGATCCTCAGTAATGATTGTGGCCAGTCACCAAGCTGGCAGTGGCTGTTCAGAGGGCTGCTGTGTGTTACAGATGTGCCTGCTTTCATTGACTGCCCTTAAGAAGCTGCAGTTGTGCTCAAAATGAGTTAACTAGTTGATTTCAGTCTGGAGCAGAATCACAGAATATGCTGAGTTGGAAGGGATCATTGGAAGAATCACTGAGTCTAGCCCTTAGCCCTGCACAGGACCATCCCCAAAAGTCACACCATGTGCCTGAAAGTATCATCCAAATGCTTCTCTAACTCTGACTGTCAGGCTTGGTGCTGTGACCACTTCCCTGGGGAGCCTGTTCCAGTTCCCAACCACCCTCTGGGTGAAGAACCTTTTTCTAATATCCAACCTAAACCTCCCCTGACACAACTTCAGGCCATTCCCTCCTGTCCTGTCACTGGTGACCACAGAGAAGACATCAGGATCTACCCTTCCTCTTCCCCTCACAAGGAAGTTGTAGATTGCAATGACATCTGTACTTTCCAAACAGAAGTTAATTCCCAGTTTTCAAGCTCAGCGTTTACCTCTCTCCCTTTTATCTTGTGAACGATAAAAGCCATTTAAATACAACATTAATAGTGAGCAGATATATTCTGACTTTCTGATTATATTCTTCCCTCCTCAGCATAAGAGATATGTTCTACTTCTTCTAGATGTCCAAGTTTTGGCTCACACGTCTCTGTTTGGACATTATTAGTAGGAGTAGTTTTTAAATGCCTCCTGGTATTTGGGGAGAGCAGAAGCACATCTGTACAGAAGCTTGAGCTGCAGCCTGGAAAACACACTGAGATAATGAAGAGTAAACTCTACCTTTCTCTAGGTGCACACAAACAAACCTGATATGTTCAGGAACATGCCAGAAATCCTGTGCCATCTTACTACAGACCGACACACTCAGATCCATGCCTGTCGACATCCTTGGGTGTGTATCATTCTGCAGAGCCTCTGCTAGCTTTACTGTGAAAGTGTGGCTATAGGTGCTGTGTTCTGGGCTTGTGCTAATGAAGACTGATGAAATGGTGGCTTAATGTAAAGAAGAGTGAGAACTTTAGTTAGCAGGTTGAAGTTTTTAAAAAAAAAAAAAAAAGAAAAAAGGGGAAAAATATATTAGCTTATGCTGGAAATAGTTTAATTGTATTTGAAACCTGAAAATTGTATTAAGTGAAGTAAAACAAGCAGCAGATTAGATCAGTCGGGTATTATCCATCTAAATGTGTCAAAAGCAGCTCAGATGATACCTGCTGCAGCCATGCACTGTGTGGTTGTAGCACATGGCCTTCCCTTTCCAGGATGTCTGTCAGGCTGGAGGCTCCAACTTGCAGGAGCTCAGGTGAAAGCAGAGATGGCACTTTGGGACATCTTTTTGGACAGTCTCTATGACTGATTTGCTTTGCCATCTGCACTAAGGAAGCAATGTGTGACAAAGAGTGTTTCAAGGGAGTTGGAAGTGAGAGGAGAACTTGGTCTGCCTAGATACTATGTTGCCTAATTTCTCAGGGGGGGAAAAAAGGGTCCCTATTGCATTTATTTTTATCTTGCATTGGGCAGGATGATGACTGCTTCCGAGGGAACAGACTGCCCTGTGGGCTGACTTGCCAAAATGGAACTCCTTTGCACATAATCAGCATCAAACCCTCCACTATATGGTTTGGGGAAAGGATCAAGAAAACCAATGTAATCGTGAGGTGAGCATTTGGGCCACACAGAAACCTGTTGTTTGAGAAACATATCTTGCCTGACACTTGTATACCTTATCTCAAAATGGACTTCAAGAGCAGGTTATGCTTGACTGTTGACTGAGTATGAAGAGCAGTTATCTAATTTTTGTGCCTCCTCTGTTTTTTAGGACTGGGGAAAGAACGTACAGAGCTTGTTTCTCTTTCCACTCTTCATACAGCGAGGTTCGTATACTTGTAGTTCTGAATATACAGTGATTAAGAAAACATAAAGGAGATTTGATTGTTCTGGAGTGAATGACATGACTTGACACAAAAAAAAAAATCTTGTCAATAATAAGACATAAGGGGATAAGAAGTCCTGATGCTGAAGATAGAGAAACTTGTTTTAGTATAGCCACAGAGTAGTATATTAAAGAAGGGCAGGATTACAAGCCTATTTTTTGTTCTCTGTTCTCAGCATATAGGTCAGAAGTTTGCTACCTGCCTTTGTATTTTAGATTATTGTGTAACTATGCAATGCTTAAAGCATGGAGTTTTGGTTTTCAATACATTGTTTATCTACTGTGACTCAGTTTTGGGTAGGTTTGCCTTCTATTTCCCTGCCCACACATGTAAACAGAATTTTCTCACATCCTATCTGCCTCTGCTACTCCTCTTTCTGTGTTAGGGAATAAAAGGAAATTGGTCGTGGCAGCATCCTCCCCAGAGGATTTAATGTGACTTGATGCAGTTCTAAAAACACTTCTCTCTCCTAAAAAACTGAAGCTGGATCAGTGCTAATAAGGAACCTGTAACAAAGCCTTGCCTCATACAAAATTGAGATTATTCAGAGCCCCAGGAAGACAGTCCTCTTTTTAAGGTCCTGTTTAAGTTTTAGTTTGCTCTACCATAAGGAATTTTAAATGGAGGTACTAGCATAGTACATACAACGTGACAGGTTTACTGGTGCAATATGGGGGGTAGTGTAACTGTAACACTCCTTCCTCCACATGCAAAAATAGATAGGCCCTGCTGTCTGTACAGATAGGAGTGTAATCTACAACCTACAAGTGTTTCCAGTGCTCAGCACTGACAAAGCCTCAGCTGGAGTGGATTGCTGCAAACTGAACACAATTTTTCAAGAAATTTACTGTCTGGAGAGCATCCAGAAGACAACAGAGTAAGGCTTGGAAAAACTGATGTGTTTGTCAAAATGGGCTTTTACAGGGGACTGAAGGGAGACTTTAGGCCAAGTCTCTGAGAAAGGGAATACCTAATCTGCACACGTAGGGACTTGAAGTCCAGTAAGAAAAACGCAGGTTTGAAAATATTGACAGCAGTAAGGACAGGGAAGTGCTGGATCACATTCCAAATCTGTCCAGCCTTTTTTTTCAGAGATAGTGATGGTCTGTAGAAGTTGATAATTGCAGTGAGGTGTTAGGTGAGGCTGAGTTTTCAGAATCCTTTCACACCTGTTTGTTGTTCCAGAGCTATCCACTTGGATAGAGTTTAGCTCATGGGTCGCATTGGTCTTTACGTGAGACCAGTGGTAGTACTTTTCTGTATGCTTGGATCAGTCCTGCCTTTAAGTGAAATTCTTAACTGTTGATGTAACTTATCAAATTGCTTCTTCTTCTCTGGAATTTAGATTAAGGATTTCCTGAGCTATATCTGTCCTGTGAATGTGTATCCCAACGTACTGCCACTGGGTGGGACAGAGGAGAAAGTAATGGAAATGTAAGTGACAAATGGCTGCTGGATGGAGGTGGTCCAAACTCTGTTCTTGTGAGGACAACTTCCCTCCTGAATCCTGGCCTCTCAGGAGGGGCACTGCCTTTTTCTTTACTGGTCTGATAATTCTTTTTTCTTTTTTTCCTCTATATTCAGTCCCACAAACTTGAGCTTTCTGAAGCACACTTGTATGCTGAGTTAAGTGTGAGAGTTTGTATTCCACACAAATCTATGTGTAGAGGCTTTCCTGCTGGTAAACTCTAGAAGCTGAATACACATTCATCTCACTGTGTTCTGTGACCCATTTCTATTTCACTGCAACTTCTCAGAAGTTTCTTTTAAAAAGGGTTTCTTTGAGGTCTTGAACACCTCCCCTCTGCATCAGAGGCCAGTTCTCTTCTGTGGCTGCAGGTGTTGGCAGCTTAGAAAGCAACCTCACAGAGCAAGAGAGCAATGGTGTCACTCAGTCTAAACACAACCAGGACTCCTTTTTCTGTTCCTTTTTTCTTTTCCTCTTTAATTAAGAAAGGAGACTTTATACTTGTCAGATATTGAATAAAACTGCAGTCAGATTTTGAACCCTCTCATCTTGTCTCACTAAGCAAGGAACTACAAGATAGTTTCCAAATGACCTACATGTTTTAAGGCAAACATGTTGAAATGACAGATCTCTACCTTTAAGCTGCTTAAGCTCACCAACTAATCAAAAGCTTTGACCTAGGTATTGCTGCCTTTGCTTTAACATTTTTGCTGCAGTGCCTGTGAAAGGCATGGAGCAGTGTATTTACATCAAGTTAAAAGTTTTACTTCTGCTCCTGAAAGTATCTGCTGTGTTCTAAACATAATTGCTTTTCTCATTCCTCTCAGATTAAAGCCATTATGCAGGTCATACAGGAGAAATATGGAACCCAGGTACAAGCCCTTAGGAACACTGAAGAGAGTCCACAAGAGAGAATTATCTGATACAGGTAAAGGTTCTGATGGTGCTACTGCACCTTAAGTGAGAGTCTGAGACTAAGCAGAGGTGCCAAAAGCCTCAGTGTTCACCATAGTCTGTCTTTGTGTTCAAAACAACAGTTGGAAAGGAAAAATATAAATTAACTTTGGATTTTAAGAGCACTAATTGTATAAAAACACACTCGTTTGCAGTCTTAAAATGTAGTTACTGCTCCACAGCCCTTTCAGTCTTTGGATAGGGTTCCTTCCCACAGTCTTGGACCAGCCCTAGGAAAGCTTGTTCTAACTGCCCCTCTGTGAGGCACTGAACTGGACAAGGCATGGCAAACACTGTCAATAACGTCCTACAGAGTCTCCAGCTGGGTTAAAGAACTTTTTCCTCAATTTATACTAAATGAATTTTTATTAAAACTTTGCTCTCAACAAGATTTTAGCAGAGATGTGAACTTTTCTTAGTGACTTTCTTTTTCTGTTCGTTTCCTGATAGATGAAGATGATCTCTTTGATTCAGAATTAACTTCTGCAAGGCCTAAGATTCCAAAACAGCAGACAGGTGAGAGCAGGCCATCCAGCACAGGACAGTCTGAAAATGCTGAAGGAAATATTAATGAGAGCACAGAAGGTTACAAAGCAACCACAACTTACACCTCCCTCCAGGTAGATTTTGTGGACTGTGAGGAATCAAATGATGATGATGATGATGATGATGAAAATGACGAAGAAGAATCTGAAAAAAATACAGTTCAAGTTCTTTCCCATGAGCCAGATGCCACTTCCACAACAAATTTCAGTGGAGTAACTAGTGACCAACAGGACCCTAATGCTGATGTCCCTCGCTGGGATGAATTCTTTATGTGTAATAAGTTAGAGGAAAGCTCTGAAAATGAGGACAACATCCCATCTTCGGCAGATGCTGGTGGGTCCCAGTCGCTCTTCAGCGACTCAGATGGAGTAAGTGACTCAACACACATCTCCTCCCAAAATTCTTCTCAGTCAACACACATATCAGAGCAGGGGAGCCAGGGCTGGGACAGCCAAATGGACACAGTGCTTATCACCTCCCAGGAACGAAGTGCCCTGGACTTCAGCAAAGGTGGGAGCAGAGCAGTTGTTCCTGTGCTGCAGGAGACTGCCGGGGGCAGTCAGCCAGAGAGTAGCAGGGGGAAGCCACCAGGGCAGAGCAGACCCTGTGTCTACGATGGCACCTGTGACTTGAAAAGCAAGGGCTGTGAGAAAGCTGCAGAGACTGGCACTGCTTGTGTTCAGGATGCGCTGGTGGAACTAAGTGACAGCTCGAGGACTCCTGACCTGGAGCTGAGGAGGGACTCCCAGAGCTCCTCTGACTTCGAAATTCCCTTGACTCCTGGTGCTGAAGTGCCTCAGCCAGATAAACTGCACCATTTATACGAGAAGCTTGCAGCAGGGGAAAACATACTCAGTGAGAAAAAAGTCTCCTGAGGACAGATATAACTGTGGTGATACCCAAAATGTTTATTAATACCCGAATTCTTTTTCTCTTTAATGCCAATTACTATAAGCAGCTATGCTGACCCATGCAATTTTTTTTTTTTTTTCAGAAATATCTTACTGTCAGAACTAGGAATTTGTAGCCTGTGTAACTTTATTGTTCCTTCTATGAAATACTGGAAATGAAGTATTTCTAGGAGGGACTGTAAAAGCATTCTACCTCCCGAGGTTCATTTCTCCAGGACTATAAGTAGACAAAAAGTGGACCAGACAAAAGTAAGCACAGAACACTAAATGAAATTTAGTGTTTATCATGAGCTCTAAGAGTTTGCCTTCGTAATGTGATCTCAGGTTTTAATAAAATACCACAGCTAACTGTGGGGAGGAACACATAGGAATGACCATGTAAACAAGGTAGTATTATCATTTTTATCACTATTTAATTAGTATTCACTGCAGTTATTTTTAAAAACAACTGCAGAACAGATTAGAGAATTACTGAGAATGTGAGGGGTTTTTAATTTGTTGTTAAATCAAATTGTTCAAGAAGTCTCTCTTTACACTGAGCAAGTGGTGTCATCTGATTTTTAACTCCTGAGTGAGGTATTGCACACTGTTGTCTATGCTTTAACTCCAACTCGTTGCATACAACTTGTCATCAGTTCCTCCATGTTTTGGTTTGTTCTGAATTGTTTTTCAGAAAAACTTTAAATCTTGTGGTTCCCAAGCCACCAGCCATGGCCTGCTCTGGCAACAGAAGGTAACCTGTTATCCCAGACAGGTGGTTGCATTACTTGAGGCTCCTGTACTACAAAATTTCACTTCCTCTGCAACATTCTGTAGACTTCACTGAATTCTTTTTCAAATCAAGACAATATATTCTCTATAAATGTGTGCCATCATAACTCTTTCTGCCAAAATTCTTAGGTTCTACCATGGAAATGTAATTGAGGTTTTAGTTAAACTGCAGTGCCTATAAAATAAACCACAGAAGTCATCTGAAAATCCCTGAGGTTTCCTATCCATGTGGTCTTAAATGCCAAAGAATTAAACAGACCTTTAACACAAGATCTCTCCCTTCCAAGTGTGCCTTGAGTCTTTGTGTCATGTTTAGTGATATGTGAATGTTAAACCAGCCACCATTCTGACACTGGGAACAGGGGCAGGAGGGGACAAAGCATTGCTCTGATCTACATATGATTTTAAGGATATTCAAGATCCATATATTTCTTCACTGTCACCTTGTCCAGTGTTTGTGGGATTTGTTAATGTAATTTCCAAATGTGATTTATCAACTTTTGGATTTTTTTAGCAAGCCTGAATAGAACTGCTGTTATAACTACTTATGTGAATAAAGTCAGACAGAGCAGAACTTATTCTGTGGGCTTGTTTCATACCTGTACTATGCATGTAAGTTCAGGGCTGCCTTTACAGGGTGCTCAAATACACAGGAATCCAGCCTGCTTCAGGCAAGTTGACAGTGTAAATTTATACCACTTCTCACCAGCCCTAAACTGAAAACAGATGATTTCCTCATGGTTACTCTGCTGGAGTCCTTACAGGGCTAGAAAATTTTGGGAACAGGACAGGAATTAAGATGTTGCAGTCTTAAAGCAACTTCTACTGCTATAGCTAATTTTGACAGGCTAAGATTTATTTTTTTTTTTTTAAGAATGACAACAACAAGAGAAAAACTAGATTTCATTTATTTTATCAAAAAACTATAGGAAGATAGCAATACTAGAGATCACACAGTATGAAAAGAAAATGTTCCTGAGCTTACAAACTGCATATTCTAATGTACACAGTTCCTAAAACATACATTAGAAATAACCAAAAGATTGACTTAATTTGGAGATTAAATAAATAGACAATAGCTTTTCTTACAGGTGATCTTGCAGCTTTAGTTTTGCTACCAAAAAATAAAAATAATCCCAACAAAAAAGAACAGCTGGAGAACAAGCCACCAATCCCCAAGAAGTGCATAAACACAACTGAACTGGTGACCATGACAATGCCAACAAAGCAAAGCAAAGGCAGAAGCTGGGCTGGTTTAGGTTCCCTAAGAAATTGAAAATAGCTTTTTCTCTTTTTCCAATTTGGCAATTTTCAGCCAAACTCATAGAAACAGCAAAAAGAGTTTTAAAAGTGACACAGTGTCCCTTTAAGCTAATTCACTTACGGCAATCCAAATGCACTGTGCATATGTAAATATAAAATACTGTTCAAGGCTCTGAACTGGAAACTGGATACATGGATTTACTTCAAATAAATACAAAATGCTGTTGCCTCCCAGAACACAAATTAACGGATCTTTATTTATGGCAGAAGATAACACACATATCCTTCGAGAACAGCAGCTTTATTCCAGCACTGGTGATAACATTCACTGCCTCGGGACAAGGCAGATGCTGAGCTCAGGTACAACTGCCACAACTGTTATCTTTTAAACTTGCAATATTTAAATCAAACTGGGCATGAACATCAACAGACAGAAAGAGGAGCCCGCCCTGTGCCCCGGGCGCGGGCGAGGCCACAGTAAGGAATCCATTTCTTGCCGCAGCCGCTCTCTCCATCCTGCAGTGACAGGGCGGGCTGCCGACTGCAGCGGATTAAGGAGCTGGAGACTGCAGATTCCATCCACATGGAATGCACCGCTGGCTCGAGCTACATGCAAGAGAAAGCACTAATGACTCCAAACGATGCAAGATCATCTGGAGTTTGCTAACATGAAAGCTCCACATTCCATTTTAAATAAAAAAATAATCATTAGAGATGTGGCATGATAAAAGCTGATTAGATTCAGCATTTATCCAAGTGCGTGAATACAGGTGAGCTTGGTCACATCAAATACTTTCAAATCTAAGCATACTTTCTCCTACTCATTAAGCAATATATAGTCTCTATTTCAAAGTGTATCTCTGTATTGGAGATTACAAAACTCACACAGCATTTCCAGTAGCCCACGCTCTTCACCCATCTGTGATACTGATTTGGGCTAGTAGTGTATAAAATGTCATTTTCTACCAAAGGGCCAGATCTTCACTGCAAATGCAACTGTGCTTGTTAATGAGCAACCTGTATTATCCTTTGAAGTGCTAGTAATTAACATGGAATTTAAGGCATTTGCTAACATTAAGTAAACAATTACATGCTGGGCACCTTATAAAGGTAATTAGCTGACCTATGATACATAGCTAGCATCCAGTTATGGAGCATCCATTTATGGAGCAACATTGTTCTGCCTGACCCTGTCAACTTTTACATGACTTGTAAGCAATATGCAAGTTTTACGAGATTTTAATCCATGAGAATAAAGCACTTGGATCATCCCCGGAGCACGGACCTTGGCTGTAACTCCACTCCTAACCCCCTTTAACTATTGTTTTGAAGCCAAGCAAAACTTAGCATATGTTACGAACAGATCGAGACAACTTTAAAATGATCAGGAAAAAAAAAAAAGGATTCAAGCAGCTGAAGAACAGCACGTTTCTCAGCCTTTACATTCAAGAACATCTTACAAATGTCTACTGGAAATGGGAATACTCACCCCTAGTCTAACTTCACTGAAGTTAACATTTTTGCAACCAGAAAATACAGGCCTAGTATCTTAGAAGTCTGTCACTAGATAAAAAAGTCACAGTATGTAAAAACTTAATGGAAACCAGTTGTGAATATACATCAATTTCCAGGGTACTTTTGCACCTAACAGATAACTTGAGCATATCTCCACAATGCATCAACCTTGTTAGACAATGGGCTGCTCTCCCTATCTTTTGCTATCTATTTTCAAACTGTAGTCAGCAATTTGTTTCAGCCATGACTGCCAAATTTCTGCAATGAAAACAAACAGCAAATGTTACCACCAACAATCCCGTATTTACAAATCCTCTGCAGAAATGCACTCCTCCTATAGCATCCTAACTAAAAATCAGAACAGAACTGAAAAAACTTCTAGATAACAGAACATCAGCTAAAAAGTTCCAAGCTTTACACCTGGGATCTGCTAACACCAATTACTTCACTCACATGGAGTTCCATGGACATTTTATAATTCGCATTCCTGTGAACCTTCATTTGCACACTGGCTGTCCTTAATCCCTCTCTCTGGTGCCATAAAGGTTACTGCTGAGTTCTTGAAGCTTTTCTTTATACAACAAAAAAGCAAAAGAACTGTCAGCTATGATTTAGGATTCAAATCGAATGCCTCCTGACTTCTCAAGGTATAGAAAACATGTAACATCACTTCATCCCCCTGCAATCAGCTCCTGAAGGGCTGTGGCTGTGAGCTCACATTCGAATGTCAGAGGTAAGCTGAATGTGAGTCAGCAGTGCCCTGGCAGCCAGGAGGGCCAATCATGTCTTGGGGGGCATGAGGCACAGCATCTCCAGCCGGGTGAGGGAGGGGATTGTCCTGCTCTGCTCTGGGGCAGCCTCACCTTGAATTTTGTGTGCAGTTTTGGACACTGCAATGTAAGAAAGATATTAAGCCATTAGAGAGTGTCCAAAGGAGGGCAACAAAGATGGTGAAGGACCTGGAGAGGAAGCTGTATGAGGAGTAGCTGAGGGCACTTGGTCTGTTCAGCCTGGAGAAGAGAAGACTGAGGGGAGACCTCGTTGCAGTTACAACTTCCCTGGGAGGGGAAGAGGGGCAGGTACTGATCTCTTCACTCTTGAGACCAGTGACAGGACTCAAGGAAATGGCATGAGGCTGAGTCAGGGGAGGTTTTGGTTGGATATGAGGAAAGTTTTTCACTGAGAGGGTGCTTGGGCACTGAAACAGGCTTCCCATGGAAGTGGTCACAACACCAAACCTGAAAGAGCTGAAGACAACGCTCTCAGGTGCATGGTGTGACTCTTGGGGTGTCCTGCACAGAACCAGAAGTTGGACTTGATGATCCTGATGAGTCCCTTCCAACTCAACATATTCTAGGATTCTGTGAATATGCAAATCAAGGTACATTTTAGAGTTTTCTTGGCATACATTTTACTGCTTCCTACACAACAGTTCTAAAAAAATCTATTTTTAATCCCTGTTATCAGTTTTGTATTTGCCTGAAACACTACAATCTCTTTCTTTGGCTAATGCCATTTCAATTACAAACACAATGCCTTGTTTTCACAATCCTTATTTACATTAGATGTAAGAATACTTGAATATATGCATGAAAGAAGAGTCTTCTTAAAACACATTTAAAAGAGAACAAAGTATTTGTGACTTTGGATACCCGAACTCAGTTGAGATAACCTCTGCAACACACAGCTCCACATTTACAGACAGTTCTGATCCTCTTTTTGGATGGGCTAAGACCATCAGCAGAGTCTGAAGTCAGATCTATTGAACCTGCAGCACAGATAAACACAAGTAAGAAAGTTTTAAAGACAGACCTAGACCATGCCTGGTATTCGAACATCTTCTAACATTTGACACAGATAAAAGGGTGTGAAGCTATACTCAAACTCTACTAACACCCTTGTTACCACTATTGTACAACATCCGGCATACACAACAGAATCCGAAACTCAAACTCAAGCCTTGTTCCCTCACATCTGTATCCATATAGATCAGCTGAGAGTGCAGCCAGCCTTGACTGTCAGTGTTACAGACACCACGTAGAGGAGGAGGAGTTTTAAGGATTCCAGATCAATTTGGCAGTGTCCTGGGTTAAGCCCAGCTGGCAATGAAACACCACACAGCCACTTGCTCACTCCCACCCCCACCCCAGTGGAACAGGGAGGAGAATCAAGAGTAGAACTTCTAGGCTGAGATAAAGACCTTCTAATAATGGAAAAAAAATATTATAATAGCAATACTAGAAATTATAATAAAGAGAAAAATACAAACACAAGTGATGCAGAACACAATTGCTCACCTCATCCAGACCCCACCCCTGAACCCCAATCAGCCCCTTCTGGGCAACTCCCCAGTTTCTATACTGGGCATGACATTCCATGGCATGGAATATCCCTTTGGTCATTTCAGGTCACCTGTCTGCACTTCCTCCCATCTTTTTAATAATTTTTTTGTGTACCTCCTCGCTGTCAGAGCATGAGACACAAAAAAGTCCTTGACTTAGGATAACCACGACTTAGCAGCAAACAAAACATCAGTGTTTCATCTCATACACAGTCCAAAACACAGCACTGTACCAGCTACTGAGAAGAAATTAACTCTATCCCAGCTGAAACCAGGACAGTCACATCATCTGTTCCACAGGACCTGCATCCTGAGGCCTTCAGACACCAGAATGCAGAGACAAACCTGTGGTGCCTTACACTGCTGAGCTGTTACAGCTGCCTTAGTAACTATCACTAGCAGATTAATTAGAAAGTAGTTTATCTGAAGTGCCTATTTGAATAAAGGGAAGCTTT